TAGCTAGTCATAAATAAATGAAATAACTGCCCAGTGAACTCAGGAACGGGATTGCTTGCAAGTGTGTTCACCAAGAATCAGTGGAGTGACTCTCATGGTATTTGCTGGAGACACGGACTAACCTTGACCCATTCTACTTATTAAAAGGGAACAGAGAGCATGCCATAACAAATTCAAAAACCAAGAAAGGAAAACCAAGGCTTACTAAAGAGAGTTTATAAACCTGTCCTGAGAGAGAGAGAGAGAGAGAGAGAGAGAGAGAGAGAGAGAGGGAGGCAAACAAAGAAAGAAGAAAGAAAAGGAAGGAAGAAAGAGAGAGAGAGAGAGGCAAACAAAGAAAGAAGAAAGAAAAGGAAGGAAGAAAGAAAGAGAGAGAGAGAGAGAGGCTAAAATTATTAGTGTGAGAAATAGGGGGAGAAATGGAGGAAGAGAGATATGATTGATTAATTGACAGGTAGGTAGGTAGGTAGGAAGGTAGGTAGGTTGGTGGATAGTAGAGAGTGAATTGCTGCTAACCTTTAGATGAGAGGAACTGATGAGTGCTTGGGTTAGTCTCCTCTTGACAAAGACCATTTTGTGAGTGAGACAGTCTTGGGGGTGTGGAGCTGCACTCTGTTTCCTCCAAGTACTCTGTCTATCATGGCCAGTAAGAATGCAGAGACCCTGGAGAGATGAAACGTTATTCAGATCTTTTGCTAGACACTATCTAGAGATGGTAGTTCTTTGTCTAGAGGAGGTAGAACATTTTGAGAAAGTGAAGATAGTTGTGGTAGGCATCTGGAGATCATTACTTCCTAGATGCTCTATATGCTGTAGTTGGGAAGCAGACGGCCGTTGGCAAGTAGCAGCATACGAGCAAAAGACTCGGCCCTTTATGTAACGTACAAGGCAGGTCACTTTCAGAGACGGTCATTCTGTCTGCTGTATTTTGACTGATACTGTCATGTCTGTTAGAAGATACTAGAACTTACTCCGTGCCTGTGCTGTCATACCCACCAACCCACTCTTCTGTATTGCTTTGTCAGAAAGTACATTTAATTTATGGGGAATTTTATTGCCAGTATTTCTTTTTAGAAATGCTTTTCTAGTCTATGATCTGCAAAGTCCCCTGGGAGCCTTTTTTTTTTTTTATCAGCCAGACTTTTCCCTATACTCCTGACTGTGTATCCTCCAGTGAAGTGCATTTCCAGTTAGTTCTTGGTTCAGATTACACCTTCATGAAGAATTGTAGGACTGCATTTGTATTTATCTGTTTTAGACTGCCTGGAACCAAATAAGCAGAGAGTGAGCCTGCCCTGTTATTCTTGTTATGGGGTGTTTCCCATTTGTCTTCTTTGTACATTTGTATTGCGGTGCTGTGTTCTAAGAAGCGAGGGGAAGTGGAGTAGTCCAACTGGTAGGGCCCAAGGAGAACAAATGCTATCATGCAGAAAGATTAGAGTAACTTCAAAGTATAGTTTTGGAAAATCTCTTTAAATCTCCTCAGTGCACAATGGAAAGCCCCTTAAGAACCAATCTAATTATTCAATTAAATGGGACCGTTCTGCTGGCTTTTACTACAGAAGGCAAGCATAATTTAGAAAATGGAGCATTTTAATTCTCTTTTGTTTTCCAATTAACGCAGTTGCTCTAATAGGGACCACTCGTGCTTGAGCACATGTCTGGCTAGAGTGTGCTTTGTCCTTGTTTCCAGTCCTCTTTCTCACCAAAAGCTGAGCCCCTCACCTGTTGACGCAGAGGTTCATTTATTAGCGTGCTAACACTGCCCACATCATAGGCCCTGAGCACACATCTTCCTGTTGTCAACCCCCCCCCCAGCCGTGATAGGCTGCAGTGCAGCCCCACTCTCCCTGGCGGGGATAATTAGGACATTGGAATAAGGGAGCTCTCACTTTTTTTGCTGATGCCAGCTTACCACATCAGACCATGCTTGTTTGTTCTTAGTTGAAAGTGGTAACGAAAACGCTAAGAACATTGCCTTTAATTGGTCGGCACTATTTGGATGCTGGTCCACTGTTTTATAGTCCTTTGTTTTCCATTTCTGCTACTAGCCACCAGCTTATTACAGTAGGTAGTCTCATTATGTAGCCCAGGCTGGCCTTGTGTGTCTGGTTCTTCATTCTCCAAGCTTATACAGCTGTGGGCCACCATGCTGAGCCTCTCGTCAGCCTTTACTAGTTAGTGGTAATTATTTGAAAATAATTTGAAAAGATAAACTTTTTCTGTTGCTGCCATATTTTATCTCCTCTACTACTTATTAAACTCTATAAAAAGCTGGCATTTTCACATGGGTGAGAAAGCATGTTTTTCACCACAGGCCTCTGAGACTGGTGCGGATGGCAGATTCTCTTACCTTTAGCTGCCCCTGTTGAGGCCATGGGTGATTTTTTTTTTTTTGAGTGTAGATACATACATTTTCTGTGTTGCTTAGGCCTGATTCTCCCTGGACTCTAGAAAATATGTAATTTGGGATCATGATGTGGGAGAATCTTTCATAAAACATTAGAAAATTGTAAAGAAATGTGTGTTGCTTTTAAGTGAGCTTGCTGTTGTAAAGGACCTCGAGAGCATCCAGGAAGTTGGGCACTATCTGAACACAGGCACTGTGACACTGTGACCGTTAGCTCTGTGCGTGACCTCACACGACTCAGCAGGGATGACCATTACTGCCTTCTAATGACACAGCGCAGCTGCAGGCCAGCTGCCAGTGTTGCCAAGTCTCCTCACTGGGTGACATTCTCCAGTCTTCATAGAGTTAGTAAGTTCATATTAGAATGGAAGTTATTTCATGCTGTGGTAACGGTGTGGTGGGTGAGGCTCAGCGTAAAGTTGCCCACTTACGGTTTTCTTTTATGAATGTGTGGCATAGGTAGAGGTAAAAAGAGGGATACTTATGAAAAAGAAAAAAGAAAAGGAGAAATATTTAAATTTTAACAGCTAGCTAGTAAACCTTGCAATTAAAAATTAAAAAATAGAAATTTGGAAGTATGTTCAAAACAGAGGGTTAATTAGTTTATAGGGATATTAAAATGCCTATCTAAATGTGGTTAAAGCAGTCAATTAAAATTTAAAACATACAGAAGTTATGTCTTTAAATTGCTTGAAAATTTACATATATTATTTAAAATAATCATATTTAAAGAGCAAAATCAGAACTAAAAGAAGATAAGGATTGTTTTTAATTCGACAAAGGGTGTGTTATCCAGTTCAAAGTACCATCCATTTCTCTATCCACCTGAGGAACAGTGAGGCCGAGAAGACCAATGACTATCACCAACTAGAAATTTCACTAAGCCAGGGATAAGCTAGCTGAGACTTCTTGGGCCAAATCCAAACTCCGCAGGCAGAGTTGAGGTCATTTGCTTACACCGAGAAGCACTGGGCAGTGACCATGGCCCCTTACTGAAAAGGTTACCCTGTCCCCTCCTCGCTTCAGAACACCATCCTGTATATACGTTATACATTTACTATCTGCGCCATGCTTGGGACACTACTTTATTTTTTTTTAATTTTTTGAAAATTTTTTTATTAATCATTTTATTCATTTACATTTCAAATGATATCCCCCTTCCCAGTTTCCCCTCCACAAACCCCCCATCCCATCCTCCTCTCCCCCTCCCCTTTGCCTCTTTGAGGGTGCTCCTCCACCACTCTCACATCCCCTACACTGGAGCATCAAGCCTCCACAGGATCAAGGGCCTCCCCTCCCATTGATGTCAGCTAAGGCCATCCTCTGCCACATGTGTAGCTGGAGCCATGGATCCCTCTATGTGTACTCTTTGGTTGGCGATTTAGCCCTGGGAGCTCTGAGGCGGGGGTGGGGGGGGGTGGGGGGGGTGGGAGGGTCCCATTAGTTGATATTGTTGGTTGATATTGTTGTTCTTCCTATAGGGTTGCAATCCCCTTCAGCTCCTTCAATCCTTCCCCTAGCTCTTCCATTGGGGACCCTGGGCTCAGTCCCATGGTTGGCTGTGAGTATCTGCATCTGTATTGGTCAGGTGCTGGTAGAACCTCTCAGGGAACAGCCATACCAGGCTCCTGTCAGCAAGCGCTTCTTGGCATCAGCAGTAGTGTCAGGGTTTGCTGTCTGCAGATGGGACGAGCTCCTAGGTGGGGTGGTCTCTGGATGACCTTTGTTTCAGTCTCTGTTCAGTTTTTTTGTCCCTGTTTTTTACTTTGGACAGGAACAATTCTGGGTTAATTTTGAGATGGCCCCATTCCTCAGCTGGGGGCCGTGCCTATCTACCGGAGGTGGTCTCTACAGGTTCTATCTTCTCTTGTTGGGAATTTCAGCTAATGTCATCCCTGTTGGGTCCTGGGAGCCTCTAGATTCCCTGGCAGGATGCCACTTTCTTAATCATTCTCTGACACAAGATGAGATGGAAGCTCAAAGACTTGCTCAGCTCTCCCAGCTATGCAGAAGAGTCTGACTTGGAACTGTGGTGTCTGCCATTAGTGCAGTCAGGTATCTTCACAAGTAGAGGTGATCTGAAGCGAAGCCCCTCCATAAAGCCCTGCTCCATATGCCTTCAGGCACATGGCTTAACTAATTACTCAGTGCCCTACAACCTCAATGCTGGTTTAGTTTATACAATCCTTTCCTCTTTTTCTCTTTTCTTTTCTTTTCTTTTCTTTTCTTTTCTTTTCTTTCTTCTTCCTTTTTTTTTTTTTGTTGTTTTGAAACAAAGTCTTGCTATACAGTCTAGGCAGGCATCAAATTGCAGTGTAGCCCAACGATCTCAAATGTATGTAAATCTTCCTGCCTCTGCCTCCTACATGCTGGGAGTATAAGTGTGTACCACCTTACCCAGCTCAGATGACTCTCATGAGTCACGTGTTCATAGATGAGAATCTAAATCTTCAGAAATGATTTCAGCTTTCCCAAGATTTGAATTTATCTAAACGCAGTCCAAGGGAGATAATACATGTTGCAAAGGTCTGGTGAGCTCTCAAACTTAAGATCCCAGTCACACTAATTTCCTCCCTCTTCTGAATTGCAGGTGCTTCATCGACAACAGTCCCAGCCAACTAAGGAGAGCTCCCCTCCCAGAGAAGAAGCACCTCCACCACCTCCTCCAACAGAAGACAGCTGTGCCAAAAAACCTCGATCTCGCACAAAGATCTCCTTGGAAGCCCTGGGCATCCTTCAAAGCTTCATCCATGATGTAGGCCTCTATCCTGACCAGGAAGCCATCCACACACTCTCAGCCCAGCTGGATCTCCCCAAACACACCATCATCAAGTTCTTCCAGAACCAGAGGTACCATGTGAAGCATCATGGGAAGCTGAAGGAACACCTGGGCTCCGCGGTGGACGTGGCAGAGTATAAGGACGAGGAGCTACTGACGGAGTCTGAAGAGAACGACAGTGAGGAAGGCTCGGAGGAGATGTACAAGGTGGAGACAGAGGAAGAGACCACCGCTGAGAAGAGCAAGGCTGCTCCAGCCGAAACCGACCAGAGATAATGTGAACTCCACAGACAGAGCAATAGATGGGTCCAAGGACTTTCTGTTCTAGTTTCTTTTCAAGTTCCTCTCGGCTTTGTTTTATTTTGTTTTGGTTTTGTCTGTTTTATTTTCCTTACCCTTAATGGCATTCCTCTGTTGGCACAGGATAGCCTATAGACTGAGTAAGCTCAGAGTTTCTGAATCAGACGTCGCCTTGGCAAAGACACTAAGTGTTAAACTTTTACAATTAACTGGACCATAGTAATTCTAGTCACAGGAGACCCTGCCATCATTCTTGGACTTACAGAAGAGACACCAGGCAAGTTCCAGGATGGGAAGACCCACGAAATAAATGAAGGAAGCTGCGAGTGTGTGTATATGTATATGTACATATCTCTATATTTACATATATATATTAAAAATTGCATGGGACAGAGAACTTTACAATCTGAAGGACTAGATTGTGAAATGAGTTCTTAAAGAAAAGACTTGTTTATGTATGAAAAATAATCCGCGTCATAGTGAGTCGCTTTGACTTTTTGAGAAACTGCGGCCTGCTTTCAGGGCAGGGTAACTATTTTTGAATTCCTATTTATTTTGTGTGTTTGTCCCTGATTTTTTTTAATTCTATGGCTTCCTATCTGGCAGCTTAATGGGTAATTTTTGAGGTATGTATTTAACAAAATAACACTGCCAAAAAAATGAGAGAAAGGAGGAAAGAAGAGAATTAAGTGAGAGAAAATCAGGGCATATTAAAAAATGACATAAGACAAATTACTCCTGAGGACATAATGCACACTTTAAGACAATGACTCAGCGCCGTGACCCTCCACACTCCGTTACTGAGCATGTCAGCACGGTAGCGTGCAGATGCTTTCTGTGGAATTCCGTGCCAAGTTCAGTGCAGAGGAAACTTGACCTTTAGTGCAGTCTCGATGAATGACATTTTGACACGTTGGACCTATAGAATCCATGCTATGAGCCACATTTTGTTGTGAAGTTTATTTACCTGCTTGTAGCTTCAAATCTTAAAATTATTAAGCTTGCTCATTTAAAATTGTTGGGATGTTACCGTTTCCTTTCCTTTCATTTTTTTTTCAGGATTTCTTTTGTTTTTGTTTTTATTTTGTTTTGTTTTAAATAGAACATAGTTCAATGTAATGTTAGGTTAGAGAAAGAAGTTTTCTGCCCAGTTAGAGGGGCTCCCGCTCAAATAACTCCACCAGGCCCTCTCCCCTAGTGTTTCTTACTCCTCTTCCGTTTTGGACTTCCTCTTCTTCACAAATCCCCTCCACTTTAGCCAAACCTCTGCAGACCCTGAGCTCACGCACCTCCACCCTTCCCCTGCAGCCCTGACAGGAACCTGCTTTGGAATCATTATGCACCCCCAGGCAATAAAGTAAGTGAAGTGATTTCAGCAGAGTCACCTACTCATCGGGAAAGGAAATAATTGTCCCAGTGCCCCACATAACGCTTACCTTACGTAAAAGCAGAACTAATGCCAACGGGCTGTTTTGTGGAACAAGCGTTAAAGCTGCAATCTACCACAGTTTGCCAAATCTCCTCGTTTCTTATTAGGAACAGTAGCATTACCTTCCAGTTCCAGTGACAGCGATTGCAAGAGGAGACCCTCCCCTCCGGACTGGCCTCCGGAACCCACTCCAGGCTTGAGTTGGCTACTCAGCAGTCCCGCACGGTTGGGTTTTGTTTTGTTTTGTTTTGTTTTTGAGTTGTATCGTCATGCAACCTTGTCAAAGACCTCATGCAATATCACTTTGAAATTTATTTTCTGTTTACTACACAAACATTGTAATATAACTGTTAATACTATTTATATATTTGAAAGGTATAAGAGGTAGGAGTTAAAAAAAAAACCTCTATGTGTAGATATTAACTCAGAACTTACACTATACAGGGAGAAGACACGTTGCAATACAAGCTAATTCTAGCTGCTTAGTAACCTCTGGAGTTCTCAAAGGGACATTTTCCTGTACTTTTTCAAATAATGATGTTTAAAACAGTTAACCTTGACATGAGCATCATGCATCTTTGCAAAAGGATGGCTGTTTGCAATTGAGGCCTGGGCCGGCCCTCCCCCTTTCTGTAGATGCTGCGGCTTTAACCCGAGAGTCCACAGTTGCTGCTTCCTGATCTCCGAGTTACTCTTTCCAAATTGTCTTCTGACACTGTTGCTGAAGTCACTCTGTACACATCCTAGTCACCCATTTTTGCCAAGCTCTTACAGGTGGTTCATCGATTGATGGCATCCGCATTTGGTATCTTTTACACTTCAACCAAAAATTTATTAGGTATTTTTCAATGCTAAGTCTTGCCTTTTATTTTTTAATTTCACTGCCAAGTTTGCAGTGGTTCTAAGTGAATCTGTGGGCATTTTAGCCTGTGGTCTTGCCAGATCTTTGCGAATTACAATGCATATATGTCTATTTATTCAATATCTGTCATATAATATCTATTTGGAAGAAGAAACTTTCTCTTGTAGTGCCTCTTGACAAAGCACAATTTCCCGCCTTTTTTTTTTTGTGAAATGAAGAAAAAAAAAAACAAATTGTGTTTTATTGCAGTATCAATAATGTGAATAAGGATTAACATATTGTAAATGTTCTTTTTTCCATGTAAATCAACTATCTTTGTTATCACTAAGTGATAATTTTTAACTTATGTGCATTGTTAGGCTGTTAGAATTTTTTGGTTGTTAAATAAAACGCATTCAATAAATCTGACTTTGTTTGTCAAATAGTTTACTGGGCGTTATCCCCCTTTCTCACGTTAAGTCTTCAAGTGGAACAAGACCTGGAGAATCTAAGAAAAATATTTTAGAAGTAAGACCATGGGACCGGCAGTTACAGATGTTTCAGTTCTTTTCAATGTATGGCTTCAATTGCACATGTGAACTGTGTGTGTCTCTCAGCATATCTGAACACACACATGCTCATATGCTGTCATGGACAACCTGGAGAGTCATTTTGCCACTGTCTTGTTGTATATGAACAAAATTCAAATGTATAAAGATATATTTATAGGCTCACTTCTTTATTTTTCTAGTGAATATTTTCTGTTTATAATTAAAAAACCACAAATGACTGCGTGTCAGGAAACTTTTGGAGCACATATGTCCATGGTTAATGGACATAATAAAAGTCTTTTATATTTAGAGCTTGGGCACCATAATGTGTGCTTTAAGGAATGCCGGAAGGATTGATGTATCTGAGAAATGTGCGAAAATGATTTTTTAGAAAGTGCTTACAATGGAAAAAATTACTCCAAAGACTAAAGTTAATAAAGAAAGAGCAAGTGTTTAGCTGCAGAAAGTGTAAATTAAAAATGATTTGGGTTTTTAGATATTGTCGATTTTTCCTGCCTTTTTCCTTTTGTTATCTCTCTGCTTTGGTAGGTATGCAGATTAATTTTTCTTTCCTTTTTCCATGATGGTTTATAGCCCACATGCACAGTAACTCTGTCTTAAGGACAGACAGTTAAAACTGGGTGTTTACAGAAATGCAGACAGCTTAAGTTTTTTGAGGGCTAACAAGATCTCAACTTGGGGGTGACCCATATTCTCAGTGCAAATGTAAATGAGCTCTGGTTTGGGGTGGAGGCCAGGAAGGAAAGTGTTGGAGGGATAGTTTGATTTTTAACACAAGTAGCTTCCACATTCCCACATGCCTTCTGCACGCTTAGAGGCTGGAGTTCACCAGAGATAAACTGTAAAGTGAAAACTGCCACCAGACAGATGAGCCGCTCTGCCCAGGGGTCAACCTTGTACGAGCTGCTTCTCTTTTCAAGAAAAATTCAAGGAAATTTCTGGACTACCAGAAGAGCCACCACTTTGTGGGGTGGACTGTAATTACAAGAGAAAATTCGAATCATGATCTAGAGTGGTTTTGAAAGGCTTAGCTGCATATATGAGGGAAAGGGACAGGAAAATACTAAGATATTGTCTTAGTATTTCTTCTCAGACAAATGGCATGGCTAGGTAAATTGGCTTCACAAAGCTGTTAGAGTTCCCTGACCTCTCCATCCAAGGTTCCATTCACCCTGCATCCATTGCTGTGTTCCATCTTTATGGCACACAATAACTGTGGAGTTCTGGCTGTTACTTCTACTTTCCAAAGACATGGACAGAGAGTAACCAACAATTATATATTTCTATCTTGGAGATACTTTATAAGCCTTGTGTCTGAATATGTGTGTGTGTGTGTGTGGGGGGAGTTATTTCTAGCTGTGTCATTAGTTCCAGGAAAAGAATAGTGGGTTTGGGGAGTCAGCTAATAGCTGCTGACCCAGAAGATATCCAAAAAGGATGCTGGAAATAATAGATAAGAAAAAAAGGAAGAGGCATATTTTCCCCAGCAACCCTTCCTGGATCATTTTATCTCCCTCCTCACCCTACAATCACTATCCCTATTCTCGGGTCCATCCTGTCTCAGCATCACTAAGTCTGTCCAGAACGATTTTGCCAATGTGTTGCAAATCCTGTATTCACACAGCTCCCTGGGCTTCCCACCATCCTGGATATCACGGCATACTGAGGTTCTTATAAAGTTGGTTTTCTCTCTCTCTCTCTCTCTCTCTCTCTCTCTCTCTCTCTCTCTCTCT